GTGTCAGGTCGTATGCAACCTTCAACCGGTGGTTACGGTCACGCATGAGGTAATCGCGTAGACGAGAATCTCTAGAGACGTGTCTAGAGAAGCGCAAGTATCAAAAGCTAAAGTGTGGCAAACGCTGCGTGAAGAGGGGCTATCCGTTTCACGTCCAACGTGTACAAGCCCTTCAACCTGACGATTTTCCAGCAAGAGTGCGGTTTTGTGAGTGGTTGTTGCATCAACATGACAATAATACGGACCTTTTGAAGTGCATATTGGTGACAGACGAATCTACGTTCACGCGTAATGGGGTGAATAACTTTCGCAACACTCATGTTTGGTCAGTAGAAAATTCGCACGCAATTACGCAACATTTTGCCTTCCTTGTTAGAAGATGTGCCGTTAAGTGTAAGACAATCAATGTGGTTTCTGCGTCTGCTCGGTAGCGCTTCAGCTGATTTCATTTTCTGTTGGAGCGGTATGATTTCGGGCAGAGACGTACTTAGCCCTTCTCGTCAACTGGAGAGTGAGTACTTTTTCCTTTATTTTTTTTACTTGGTCGCCCTCGTTTCACTACACATTACCTTTGTTATTTCAAGGGTAGTTGTTTCTGAAAAGGAAAACCCCAACTTTGCGGACACCCTTATATATATATATATATAATTCATATCGTTCATCTGTTTTACCTTTTCTACAATGCTATTTATTTTATCCACATACAAAGAACAATAATACATTAGAAACCAATTATTTCATTTATTTAAATCAATTATATTATTAATAAATTTTGTATCCCTTTTATAATGAATTTCCAGGTACAAGGAGAAATAAGACATCATATATCAAATAATTCGACTAATATTTCAAATGAACACAGACAATATGGCAATTTATATTTTTTGGAAACTGAACTGGCAAATCCACTTCGGTCTGTTGGTCCACAAAATCGAGCAGAATTAAATCGAGAAATCGTCGACCTCATCTCTAATTACTTGTACAATCACAATCCATTTGCTCAAGCATATAGATTTCTTAAGGATGTCTATCAATAACAACAACAAAGCAATCGTCATCCAACATTGGAATTGTACATCAATAACAACCGTGCTCGGGATATCAATTTCAGACAATATGGCGCGGTACAGGCCAATGAAATAGCAGCCGTATTTATTTCTGAAGATGGGAGACCGCCCCTGGATCGTGCTTACATGTTTATTGTCGAGACAACGACTAGACTATCCACAAATTACCATATCTTAGTGTCAATTGCGATGCAATGACCTATCCTCTATTACATCCAAGAGGTGAAGCAGGATGGCAGTCTAGAACACCACATCAATATAGAAGAGGCTATATCATATCGTTACTGGAATATTATAGTTTCAGAATAGCTGTTCGACCAAATACCTTCAACCAATTTGTAATGGCAGGCAAGCTAACACAACAGTACATCGTAGATGCATACGTAAAAATCGAACAAAGTCGACTACAATTTATTACTGAAAATCAACCACGTATTAGGCAAGAAATATTTCAAGGATTAATCGACTATTTAGACTCTAGACAATTAGATGTTCATTATCAACCAGGAAATATTTTCATCCTACCGTCGACATTCATATGAAGTCCACGCGCATTTAGACAAAACTATTTGGATGCCATGTCTATGTCACAAAATACGGGAAACCAGATATTTTCCTAACATTTACTTGCAATCCTGCATGGCCTGAAATCAGGAAATAACTTAGATGCAAATCAACATTCCTCAAATAGACCTAATTTTGTATCCAGAGTGTTCAGAGCAAATTAAAGGAATTAATAGAAGATATTGATAAACGACATATTATGGGAGTTTATGTTGCTTACGTTTACGTAATAGAATTTCAGAAAAGAGGACTTCCGCATGCGCATATGTTGATTTGGTTAGAAGAATCAGACAAAATATTGGACCCTGCAGCAATCGACCGTTTAATTTCAGCAGAATTTCCCGACCCTATCGCGCATGCCAACTTGCACGAATTGGTCAAAGTACATATGCTTCATGGACCTTGTACCAGTGCTCGATGCTTAGATGAAGAAGGACATTGCAGCAAACAATTCCCGAAATCTTTGCGTGAAGATACCTTATACAATCCCTCTGGATATCCGTTATATAAAAGACGGCCAATAGAAACACCTATACATATAGGTCGAAGAACGGTAGATAATAGTTGGGTTGTACCATATAACGCTTATCTACTTGAAAAATACGAAGCTCACATTAACGTGGAGGCTTGCTCTTCAATGAAAAGCGTAAAATATTTACTTAAATATATACAAAGGATTTGATAGAGCTCAAATTGTCGTACGAACCGTGGAAGAAGACGGTCAAACAACAACTATCCAGGAACCTATGTACAACGAAATTCAAATGTTTCTGGACGTTCGCTATGTTAGCGCGCCTGAGGCGATGTGGAGGATTTATACATTCGAAATGCACGATATGTCTCATGCTATTATTAAACTCTTTGTACATCTTCCGAATATGCAACAAGTCTATTTTAATACAAATAGTACCATTCCTGACGTCGTAGAAAGGGCCGCAACACAACACACTACGTTAACAGGATGGTTCGCCTTAAATACCCAAGATGAAGAAGCTAGACAATACACATACGTACAGATACCTTATAACTATGTGTGGAAAATAACACAAACAAGAATCTGGGTAGAACGTCAACGTCATCAAAATATCATTATCCTTGGTGATTTAAATGTAAATTTATTTGCCGATAATACCTTACAACAATGTTTGGATATGTATGGTTTCAAGCAATTATTGATGCTCCCACTAGAGTAACTAATAGTACAGCAACTCTTCTGGACCCTATTTTTATTAATACCCCAATTACTGTCACTAACTGGTTTACTTTAGATGCTAATTTGTTGTCCGATCATAAAATTGTTTGCTGTATCTTAAACATATCCCGTGTGAAACATGAACAAAAAATGATCACCTTCAGAGATTTCTCACACTTTGATGAGCAATCTTTCATTGATGACCTGGCTAGAGTAAATTTTATTGAAATGTGTTATATGAGGAATATTGATGATAAAGTTCAATTTTCAGAGCAAGTTAATTGACATCTTCAATCGTCACTCTCCTATTAGGACGGTACGCGTGAGTAAGCCGAAAGCGCCGTGGTTGTCATATCCGTTGAGACAGCTTCTGAAGCAAAAAACGAGAGCATATTATTTATACAAGATAGACAGAAGTCCAGCAAGAGTGCAGGTTTTCAGGGAACTTAGAAACCTTGCACTATCGTGCATTAGACATGAAAAAATGGCGTATCTTGCTCACTTGGAAAAGGGCGTGATCAGAGAAAATTGTGGTATGAATTGAAAAATATGAAAGCACAAACATCTGATAAGCCATGTTATGTGCGGCAAGGACACA